CTGTATGCACCATTACATCTTTCACTACCTGCTGCCCCTGAGACTTTGCAAGTCATTATATAATTATATACTATGTTCTATATGCTGATACATCTTTGTCCGCCTCCCCCACTGCTGAATTTTTCTGAAATGATGCCCCTGAAACTGAGGCTGTAAGAACATAAGAATAGCCATACTGGGACAGACCAATGGTCCATCCAGCCCAGTATCCTGTCTTCTAATAGTGGCCCGTGTCAGGTGCGTCAGAGGGAATGAGCAGAACAGGGCAATTATTGAGTGATCCATTCCCTATTGTCCAGTCTCAGCTATTAGCAGTTGGACATTTAGGGACACCCAGAGCATGGGTTGAGTCCCTGACCATCTTGGCTAATAGCCATGGACCTGGCTTCCATGAACTTATATAATTTGTTGTTGAACCCTTTTATAGTTTTGGTGTTCACAGCATCCCATGACAACTGTGCATTGTGTGAAGTATTTATTTTTCTTTTAAACCTATCTATTAATTTCATTGGGTGACTCCCTAGTTTTTTTGTTATGTGAAGGGGTCAATAAAACTTCCCTATTCACATTCTCGACACCATTCATGATTGTATAGTCCTCTATCATATCCTCCCTTAGTCATCTCTTTTCTAAGTGGAACAGTCCAACGCTTTTTAATCTCTCCTAATACGGAAGCTGTTCCATATCCCTAATCATTTTTGTTGCCCTTCTCTGTACCTTTTCCAATTCTAATATATCTATTTGGAGATGGGGCACCAGAACTGTATGCAGTATTCAAGGTGTGGGTGTACTATGGATTTATATATTGGCATTACAATATGTTCTGTCTTATATCCCTTTCCTAATGGTCCCTAATATTCCGTTAGCTATTTTGACTGCTGGTGCACATTGCAGGGATCTTTTCTGAGAGCTATCCATGATGACTCCAAGATGTCTTTCCTGAGTGGTAACAGCTAATTTAGACCTCATCATTTTGTACGTATAGTTAGGATTATGTTTTCCAATGTGCATTACTTTGTATTTACCAATATTGAATTTCATCTGCCATTTTGTTGCCCAGACACCCAGTTTTGTGAGAGTCCTTTGTAACTTCGCAGTCAGCTTTGGATTTAATTATGTTGAGTAATTTTGTACCATCTGCAAATTTTGCCACCTCACTGCTCACTCCCTTTTCCAGATCATTTATGCATATGAACACATATGTACACAGCCTGGCTGGGGAGGATGAGGTGGCCAGTATTTACCTCTCTCCATTGTGAAAACCGACCATTTATTCCTACCCTTTGTTTCCTATCTTTTAATCAATTACTGTTCAATGGGAGGACCTTCCCTCTTATCCCATGACTGCTTGTGAGCCTTTGGTGTGAGACCTTGTCAAAGGCTTTCTGAAAGTCCAAGTAAACTACCTCAAGCTGGATCACCCATGTCCACATGCTTGTTGATACACTTAAAGAATTCTAATAGATTGTTGAAGTGTGATTTCCCTTTACAAAAGCCTTTACAAAAACTCTTTCCCAACAAATTGTGTTTATTCATGCGTCTAATAATTCTGTTTTTTACTGTAATTTCAACCAATTTGCCTGGGACTGAAGTTAGGTTTACCAGCCTGTAATTGCTAGGATCACCTTTGGAGCCTTTTAAAAAAAATCAGTGTTTCATTAGCTACCCTCCAATCATCAGGTACAGAGGCTGATTTGAAAAAATAGGTTACATACCACAGTTAGTACATCTGCAATTTTATATCTGAGTTCCTTCAGAACTCTTGGGTGAATTGCATCTGCTCCTAATGACTTATTACTCTTTAATTTATGAATTTGTCCAAAACCTTCTCTATTGGCACCTCAATCTGGGACAGTTCCTCAGATATGTCACATGAAAGAGTTGAGACAATCATGAATTCCCAGTTTGAATGGAATAGGTGAATTCTGTCCCAGCTAACACCTCCATAGAAACAACAGACACGCATCAGGAGCCTGTTGTACAGGGGTTCTCAAACTGGGGGTCGTGACCCTTCAGAGGGTTGTGAGGTTATTACATGGGGGGTCACGAGCTGTCAGCCTCCACCCCAAACCCTCTTCACCTCCAGCATTTATAATAGTATTAAATATTTTAAAAGTGTTTTTAATTTATAAAAGGCGGTCACACTCAGAGGCTTGCTGTGTGAAAGGGGTCACCAGTACAAAAGTTTGAGAACCACTGCTGTTGGAAGTGGTCCCTCCTGATTTGGCTGAAAGGAGATAAAGCAGAGAGAAGAAAACTCCAAGGAGGATTAGGTCAGAGTTAAATTGATATGGGTTGATGTAAAAATGTCCTGACAGAAAAACACTAAGTAAATATGTAAATAGTTAAGCTTGTATTTTTAATAAAATGTTTATTTATTTTCTTTCTGTCTGGGATATTTCATTCAAGGTGCCAACATTTTAAACTCCATCAGGATGATGGGCAGATAGGAGACTGAGGGTGTTGGTCTGCTGGAAAGTGTTAATGGCTGCCATTAAGTCAGCCTTTGATCTATAGACAATTGTACAGCTCATTGAAGCTGATAGATGTGCTAAGCACCTTTCTTTCAGGCTGAATGGAAATAACAATTAAATGCCTCTTTGTGCAGTAATAGCTGAAACAATAGGAAGCTGCCACCCAAGGCAATGGACCAGATGGCCAGATTGATCAGAAATAAAGTTAAGATTCTGTCACAGGTATTTTTAGTAAAAGTCAGTTTTGGGCGATAAACAAAAATTCCAGAAGCCTATGAGATGTCCCTGACTTTAAACTTAAAATACCTTCGGAGAGGGGGACAATATTCAGACTGCTGCTGGGGGCTTGCAGCTGCTCTGCTGGGGGCTTCTGCAGCTTGTGGCAGAAGCTGACCACTACTGCTCCAGCCCCAGGGAGGCTAATCCAATCCCAGGTGCTGCTCCAGACCCGCCCCAGAAGAAGTCACAGAGGTCCTGGAAAGTCAAGGAAACCCTTGGCCTCCATGACAGGATCATATCCTTAATCAGAAGGTAAGGTGTGTGGACGGAGGGGTTTCCCTGTGACTAGTTGCAAACACAGGGGCGAGGCGGTTGATTGGCTGCAGCTGTGTGTGTCTGTTTGTTTTGGAGTCTGATCTCTCAGTCCTCATCTCCAAAGGAAGCCTGCACAATACCTTCAAAGACAAGCATGGGAACTTAAATTCATAGTTCTGCTAGACACTAAAAAACATGGACTTAAGAGACAGACTGGTTGTATGGGTCATTACAAATTTGTAACACACCCCACTGCCTGCTAACCCTTAATTGCGCACTTTATATTAAGTGGTCTCCGACAGCAAATGTGAACCCTTTATGATTAACAATCTATCCCAACTTGTATTTAGGTTAGACATCCTGGTTACCTTCCCGAGACTTGAAGAAGAGATCAGTATAGTTTGAAAGCTAGTCCCTTCCACCAACAGTCGTTGGCAAAATAAAACATATTACCTCATCTGCCTTGTCTTTCTAGAGATAAAAGTGATCATTATGGTCCAAAAATGTTTTTTTCAACTATTCAAACTACTGAGAACCTGATTTAGTTTAGCAACAGTCTTCATTTTACCCTCAGATACATAATACAACTTCTTTTTATAGTATTATTATTTATTTATTTGTATTGCAGTAGCACCTAGGAGCCCCAGTCATGGGCCAGGACCCCATTGTATTAGACAACAAACACAGAACAAAAAGGCAGTCCCTGCTCCAAAGACGTTACAGTCTAAGACAAAAAACAACAGGTGGATAGATAGACTGGTCGATGAGGGAGAACAAGAAATAAATGAAACAATATCAGTTTGCATCACCAGCAGTGATCTCAGCACACCAGCAGCCTAACCGTTGTGAACTCTTGTAGACATCATGGCAAAGAAGATTTTAAGGAGGGATATTGAAGCTTGATTTTAAAGTAGCCAAGCAGAAAATAAAAAGTCTTCAAACTTTATTTTGTTTGTTTTTAAACACAAATCTCCACAGTTTTAAAATAAGATTTCTAAAAATGACCATGCTAAGGATTTTCTCTTGAAAAAACTTTTTTTCATCAGGCTTCTCCTGATTTTGAAAGCTGCCATAAAACTATTTAACAGTCAGTTTGAGCTCCCGGGCCAAATTTTGCCAGAAACAAACCACACACACCATTCCACTGACACCAATGGACATTTTCAGGTATGATGGCAGAATCTGAGCCATAATGAAGTTCTCAAGCTTCTTTATTTTGTGGACTACTTCTTGAGCTTCCAAATAAAAATGTGAAGCAGCAACATGCTGCTGGTGTCAGATGGAACCTAGATATTATGTTCATTGGTGCTTTGTAAACTAAAAAGATAGATATAGTCAAAAATATTTTGTTAAAATTTAAATTTAATTGTTTAAAGTCTTGGGAAACCTAAGAATTCTACTGGGCTACAATTACTAGGACAAATCAGTGTCTGCGGACCGACAAATGTTTCGCCACTATGACAGAAGAAGCTCTACAGAGCATGCGAGAGTACTTCACTATGGACCACAGTTTGAAAACTACTGCCTTTATATATATCCCACTCAAGAAAAAGGCAGCAAGACTGGACCATGAATAGGATCATTGAAGAGGAAAAAGAAGTGCTGTAAAACCATATTTGGGGTTGCTGTAAAATGTGTCCTGAATTAAACTCTTCCCACATGGGCTTAAAGCAACTTTACCTCTTACTACTGTAGGGTCATGTCCTGTGTTGATCTCTCACTGACATTAATAATAGTTCTGAGTTTGCAATGACTACAGGATAAGGCTCCTAAAAATGAGAATACAGAGCAACTTCTTATGCACCCCGAACCAACCCAGCACTTTAAATCATCTTTCAGTTATAATAGATGAAACTCTAGTTACATCCAGTTCAGTATGTCTTCGTGACTTGTTGTAAATGGAGTTGCATAGGTACAACTGAAGGCAGAATTTGGCTCACTAGCACTTAACTACACACAAGAATAATCAACAAAAGCACATAAATTTCTCACCTTGCTCCAGCAATAAGTTCTTTTTGTCCTGGGTCAAATGTTAATTGTGAGAAGTCCACAGCATTCTCTGCTCTGAACACACGTAACCAGGGGGCAATTTCTAAAGGAATAAAAAGAGAATATACTTGTTACTGCAGGAAACATAGTTACAGTGTATCGGGTAGCAAATATTACATATCAGAGGTACTGTGGGGGTGTGGAGGCTTCCCAGTGTGCTCCTTTAAGGGGCCATATGGGATTTTCACCACTGTGTAGATATTCTGCACTATAGACCTATATAACATAGAGGGCAGTCACCCAATAAACAGCTGAATGAGGTATCAATGTTTAGTTCTGATTTACAAGCCAGATGTGCTTTTCTTCCCCAGGCACAGAACAAGGCAGACAACAACACAGTGCAGCTACCATGATTCATTAGAGGATAACCAAATGTGAATAAAATTATTTCCTGTACAAGTAAACCGTAAATAGCTGAAGACTTTAAAAACGACAATAAAGTCCTGTTGAGTTAAGCATATTAAGCAAAAATAATTTTATTTTTTACCATTTTCACCAAAAAAAAAAAAAAGTGGGGGAGAAGAGAAACATCACATTCAGCCATTGCATTTTTATCATTTTTATTATAAACTTTTTCTTAGAGAAAAGAATTATGTAGAACAGTGAAATACAGAGGCAGAAGGCCAAAGGGCAAACTTCACAATTTGAGAAACATCAACACACCATTCACACTCACATTACAGGCAGTCCTCAGACTTATGACACAATTGGTTCCTGAAAATTGTGTCGTAAGTCGAAACGTCGTAACTAGGAACCACAATCCACTCCATTGCGGGACTGAGCATCGTAAAGTTGAAACCAATTGTCATAAGTCGAATGAAGTTGTCAATTCAGAAGTGTCGTAAGTGCTGTTCGTTGTAAGTCGAACATCATAAAGCCGAGAACTGCCTGTACACATGTAGATCCAGATTTTTGAAATGAAGCACATATAAGCAATTGTGCATGCCTAACTAGTGGGTGCTGTACAGGTGCAAATCAACTATTTCAGCACATATATGACTAGTTGGGTGCCACATTAAATATATGCATGTGGACATGGATGATTTGAGCACACAGCATGAGTATTCACACATATTAGGCACACACAATTGTTATTTATAAACATTTAATGTTGTAAAACTGACCCTTTTTTTTAAATAGCAACAGTACAAAATCCCTGATTTCCTACAGTCCAGAGCTCAGTGAAGCATTTTTTTTAAATACTTTGTATGTAGCCACCAGGCAATGCTAGCTGAATATACATGAAGGACCTTGGTTTGTAGGTTTGCATGCTCTGTTCCGCTGCCTGTTTAAAGGCAGGTGGATGTGGGGTAATCAATCAGTGGTGTCAAAGTGGTGCCTCCAGCTGCTGTGAGAATATGTACACAATGGGAACAGTTACAATATTGTAGGTGGAACTGGTAGTTACTATATTATGGCACAGCCTATTGTTAAAGCTCCCGACACTTCCTATTGTAAGCCTCTGTTTTCACTTGCTGATAACATTGCCCAACTTTAACAGTTTGGGCTGAAATTGTCCATGCTGGGTGTCTGCCTCAGGCTGAGTATTTTTTGGAAAATTTCAGCAAAAACAGTCCAGCCATTTCTGCAAACGAGATTAGGGAAAAAATGTTGTTAAAAACCATCATACAACCTTTTGTTTGAGAAGTTCTAGCATCCCCATGCTTTGGAGCAACAGCTTAATATCTGGCTGGAAGGGGGCTCCCTAGTGTCAGGGTGTCCCCATGAAAATCTGCTTAAATCTGGCCATTTATAAGCCTCTGAAAAAATGTCAAGTTGCACATGATCAGCAGAGACTTGTAAGATTTTGGCAGCTAATTTCATCATAAATTCCATCTGAACTGAGCATGCTCCAACCTAAGGCTGCAGGGGCTGAGCAGGACTTTCCCTCCAATGTTGCTCCTGGTTGTTACGAGCAACTTGGTTCCAGACTCAGGAACTGAGGGCAAGGAGATGGTTTCTTCCGTGCTCTCAATGTTCCTGCTGCTGCTGCTGCCCAGGCTATGTGGAAGAGAAAGCCACCTGACTGCAATGCAGAGGAGATAATAGCTGGACTGGGACAAGGAGCTGCAGCATGGGTAGAAGACTCAGAGTCCGGTAGGAATGACTGGAACTGGCTGGGCAATGAAGGGAAGACTGAGACTCAGATTGGCAGCTCAAAGGGGGAGACCATGACCGACTATGAAAGGACACTGGAAGTGGAACAAAGAGCCCTTGGGGATGGAGACTGGGACTGGGATGAGGAGCCAGTAGGGAGGGGGAGAAGACTGGACTGACACAGGGACAAGCTGTAGGGGACAGAGCCAGAATGGATCATGTAGGGGCAGAGAGGCAGAAAGGTCTGTGCTCACTAGAGCATAATCCCCCTCCAGAATTAAGAAAGGAAACCAAGATTCTGAGACTCAACATTCATTGCACTGGATGGATGGTCCTGAAGGAATTAATCAGGGTTGTGTAGTGAATGAGCTGTTGTTTGCAGGACCTCTGTCTCATATGTTGCAGAAGTCGGAAGGTCTGTAGTGAATAAGGCTAGAGATTGCAGGAAAAGAAAGGAGTCTATGAGGGTCTCACGGTTAAACTAATTGAAAACCATACAGGTGTACTGGAGTCTGTCCTTGCCTCTGCTGTAGAGTTTTTGCATGATGCTAGACAAGTCACTTAAACCAAATTTTTCACAGGTGGTCATTAAGCGTGTCACTTATTTTCTGGGTATCCAACCTAAGACACCGGGATCCTGATTTGCATAAGTGCTGAGCACTCACAGCTGCAACTGAAGTCACTGGGAGCTGTGCTTTGAACATATAAACTGCTCTATGATATGAATTGCTCTGAAAAATCAGGTCCTAAGTGTCTCAAATTGGGCACCCAAAGTAAATGGAAACTTTTGACAATCTCTCTGTGCCTCGCTTCCCCATCTGTAAAACGGAAATAATATCACCTCCTCATCTCGCAAGGGTGTTGTGAAAATAAATTCATTAATGTTTGTGACTCAGTCAAATACGAGAGTGATTAGCATCACAGAAAACGTATGGAGAAATGAGTAACTCTGTCTTCAGAGCAAGATTTGAATAGTGTAAATAAGACCTGGAGCCACACATTTTACAACAAGAACACTTGAAATATTGAGTAGCAGCTCATTCAGAGACCACCATACTTCCTGTGCACTGAATCAGGCACGAGTCCTGTGAAAAATACTATGTGATGACGTAATTAAACACTGTATCATAATACATATGCACAAGGAGACAAATTAAGGTTGTACAGGCAACCTTAAATCTTTCACTTCCTAACTTTTGAGTGCTTGACTTTGCAATGTTAATAATGTTTTTTTAATGTCATAAAAACAATATAGAAACACAGTGTTCAAAGAAGTCAAGGAAGCAGCCAGAATACAAATGTTGAGAACTTCTGGTGAAAGGCATTAAGAGGGATATATTTTGGGGGGGAAGGAATAATGGAGAAAAAAGGTAAAAAAATCAAACAGCAAATACCTTAGTTTACCAATCAACACCTCCAACTCCCCAGCTAGCCAGTCCCCAAGGTCTTGATAGCCTAAGGATATGACCCTACCGGTCTTAATAGAACATGTAAGCATATCTCACAGTTCTGAGCACTCTCCTTGTCTTTGGGCCCAGTGTTGGCCAATGCTGGTGGCTGGAAGATGCATCAGATGAAATGAAACAATTTTAAACAATCACAGGAATCCAAACAAAATAGAAACACAACAAGCTGAGTAATTATGATAAACATATAATGTAAAACAATGATCCTCTGGTGAAGATCAGGGTCTTTGAGTCCTATACAAAGCTAAGTCCAGCACTCAGACTACTTTCCCTGACGTTTCTCTGAACCTAACTAACCAAATAGATTATGGCTGCAGTGACTTCCCCTGTGGTACTCAAAAGCAGGCATCGTACAGAGGCAGGTCAACAGGGCATCTTGGCAACAGAAACACACTGGTCAGAGAGGAAGGTTAGCCTGATGGTTATACCACTAGCCTGGGACTTAGGAGCCCTGAGTTCAGCTCCTTGCTCAGCCACAGACTTTCTGCGTGACCCTGGGCAAGATTATTAGGGTATGTCTTCACTACAAGTGACGGTGTGATTGTAGCACAGGCAGGTATACAACAGTAGTGTAGATATGGTTCCACGGGTTTCAGCACAGGCTACTCAACCAAGTACAAGCCTCCCAGTAAGCCCTGATACTTGCTTGGGTTGCTACCCCATGCCATCACATCTGTACTATTGTTACCCCTGCTAGCTGGATGAGTTGCTACTTGTGCCACAAACTCACCATCACTTGCAGAGCAGACATATAGTATCTCTGTGCCCTGGTTTCCAGCTGTAAAATTAGGCTAATAATAAGTACTTTCTTACCTCATATGGGTGTTGTGAAGATAAATAAATAAGGCACAGCAGACAATTGGGATCATTCGTAGGGTTTGCCTTCTCTTTTTTACCATATTAGGGCAGGGAAGAGAAAGCATGGGCTGGAAGGTCAAAGCAAGATCAGCATGAGGGCTGTTGAGAGCTCCCTTTGAACCCTTCTTTTCTCTGCTCCCCCAAAACAAACTTATTCTGCTCCTGTACCATTCAACATTACTTCATCTGGGGGGAAAAGGGAAGAGGAACAGGCTGCAACAACAAATGTTTTAACTTCTAGGGAACAATTTCAAATACTGATCATGCAATGTCTCTCACAGGAGTAGGTACACCCCCATGGGGGCTAGTTATAACTTTTACAACACTTCTGTAAAGGAGAACTAATAACAGATAATCAAACAAAAGCCCCACTGAAATTTGCCAATACAAATCTTTAAACTATGGGTGAAATTCTGCTCTTAGTTACAGGGTAGAAATCCCAAATAAACCCATCATCTGAGTAACTACGTCAATGGAGTTACTCCAGAATTGCACCTTATTAGCATCTAAATAGTAAGAATTCACAAGGGTTTGGTACTATGCAATGTACATTACTACAATGCATGGTAACTTTCTTAAAGTGAAACAAGATGTTTGAATTCTATGAGGGATAAAAGATTTG